GCCCCCGATCCTCCGGACACGCTGCAGGTGCGGGGCTGAGGGGAGGGAGCGCGGGGCAGGGAACCCGCGGGGCTGCGGGGAGTCCCGCGTTGGCAGCCTGCGAGGGAAAGGGAGCCGTGGAGCGGCGGCTCTGAGGTAACTTTGGTCGCGAAGGTGAGAGGGGGCACCCGTGAGGGTGCGGGGCGGCGGTCACGCTTCTCCCTCTGCTCTGGCGAGAGGTGCGGGCAGAACTGGAGATAGCCAGGCGTAGTTTGCCTCCTCGGAGACGGCATTCTTATCTGTGATGAAATTCAAACTTTCACTGCTTCTAGACAAACTACACGTTGCTGTATCTTGAAGCGGGCAGCTGTTTCTAATGGCAATTACGAGTCCTTTGACGAGACTTCACGTATGAAAACACTAAAGGAGTGTGTTTTCACGAGTGCCAGAGCCATAGGGTGCTCTTGAGCCCTCGAGTGAAGAAGAGGAATCTTGCAAATTCCTGTTTCCTGCATCATACTGGAAATCTGTTGCTTTCAGCTCCACTCTGATAGTTACTTTATTACTAGCTTTGTTGAGTTGAAACACAAATCGACATTATTTTAAGGATTAACACAGTTATTAAATCTGTTTCTTGTAAACTGTTTGTTTTCCTATTGTCTTGGCTGAATCCTTGATGTATCTGCAAGCAAAGAAGTTTCCAGTATGGTCTTTCACTATGGACAAGAGCTAACCTGAGTCCCTTTTTCTGGAGGGGGTGTGCAGTTCATAGATGCTAGGGATGGTTGGATTCCATATAGATTCTCTTAATGTTAAAGCAATACAAATGCCCCTCATTCTTAAATTTTGCCGTAGTTACCAAGACATGTTACAGATGGATTTGAGCTGCTATTTCTGTATAATTAATACTTAAAAAGTAGTTGTGCTCATCTCTTACAAGAGCAACTTGTTTACCAGGAGGGCTGTCCTACCAAAACTTAAAATTTTCAAAAAAGAGAGTCAGTTCAGTGCTGTGGTAATATAATCTAGAATACATTAAATGTTCAGTAGAAGATATTATTTGGTTTACAGGAGGTTAATTTAAAATGTAAGTAATTAGGTATTTGATATGTGAAGCTAGGGGTAAAAATGAAGCCACTCTTTCTTGTTAAAATTCATTTGAATTTTAATCATAGCATTATTCAGGTGAGAATTTACTCCTACTTTTTCCTTTAGCTTTCGTGGATGTGGGATAATGTATATAGAACTTTTTTAAAAAATGTATAGTTTGATTATATTTATCATTTTAGACCTTCATGTACTAGAAACTTTTTCTTTTGTGCAACTTGGGAATGAAATCTATATTAGTAAGCACTGTGTGTCTTGTTTTTTCTCTGTTCTATAATGGGGCTTGACGATGTACCTTTTCAATAACCATAAACATCCAAGTGTTCTACATTTTAGCAGCCTATGTTTTGCAGGGAATGGAGGATGATGGAGGTGGAAGAGAATTTGTTCCACACTTGAGCAATTCACAGTTCAACCACTAAGGACAAAAAAGTAGCTGTGATACTCTTGTGTAGTGTGACTTGCCCTAGTAGGCATTTTTAATCAACAGACCAATATAAGTGTTAACCTTTTAAATTTTACCTTAAACATTGGGATGTTCAGGTGCAGTGGTCCATGTGGAAATGAAGGATTTCCTTTCCACTGCCTCCCCAGTGGATATATAGTGAATTTTTATAATAATAATGGGACATGTAAACTGCTCTGAGGTATTGGCAGTTTCCCAGGGAAACAAAATTAGGACACTAATGATTGCTCAACACCAGAAGTGTAAACAAGGAAAAACATTTGATTTGTCAGTGAAAATATGTGAAAAGGTTTAAGATGGTGACAGCTGTTTAGCAATAACTTTATTGAAAGAAACAAAACACTTTCCTTGCCAATAAAAAATAAAACTTCAGCCTAATTCTATATGCCATGATTCTGGTATTGTCCTGATGGAAAACAATTCTTCAATTTTATAAGTGTTTCTGTTCTGAAACAATATACAGAAGAGGTCATGCATTCAGCTTCTGCCCAAGGCAGGCTGTTATAAGTTGCTGAATTCATGTACACGTACTGCAGCAGTTATAACCCAGCAAGTCTTTGCCAAAAAAAAATCCTGCTCTCAGCAACATACGTCAAAATGAACAGGGGCAGGAAACTACATGATGTGTGTTTTTCTGAGGATGCATGAAAAGTTGCAAGGAGAGGTGGTTAAGGTGTGGGAACTGGGAAGAAAAAGTGGATGAAAAGATGGGGCTGCTTCAATATCCAGTGAAGAGATAAATTTTCTGGCTTTTGGGCCTGCAATTTTTTAAGCAATTTGCCATATTTAATCAGATTTAAAAGGATCCACTTGCTTGCTTGTGGCAGAAACCACGGAATACTGATTCTGAATGTCACAGTGTGCAGCAAATTGCATGAAACAGGCTGTTACTGTAGTGTAAGATGGCTAAAGTAAGCTTAGCAAAGGCTGATGGAAGATGGAAAAAACTGTCTTTTGTTTTCATCGCCAGTAAGGTACTACCAGAAATTAAAGAATATGCAGCAATGGAGAAAGGAATTGATGCAGTAGTATGAGAACTATGTGTAGAGTTAATGAATTTTCTAGCAGGCCTTTCTAATCAAAAGAAAACAGAAACCAAATGATGCTGTTTTGTTTGGAATACAGGGACGAATGAGCAATGAATCAATATGGATTCCATTTGCCAAATATATTTGGATAAAATATGACATCATACATTTAAATGAGAAGGATTTTTCTTAGGCACAATCAGGCTGTGACTGGTTAAAATAATGTCATGGGTCCTTACTTGTTTCAGTTTTCAGTAGCCAAGTAATATTTGAAACTGCTTGATGGACACAAGGAACATTTCAAAGGAACTGTGACTGGTAATGAAGGAGTATTTCATCATTACAATTACTCTTCAGAAGATTTACAAATAAGGAAGACCTCTGTCACTTAACCTAGATCAGACAATATGTTGTGCTCCAAACACATCAAGACTGATAACGCTTCATGACAAATAACAGTCATGTGCCACAGAAGCAGAAGGGTTTAATAGCCAGCAGCTACAGGGTGTTGTGTCCAACCCCCTCCACTGTGAATGTACAGAGAAAGATGGTAAGCTGGTGACACAGCAATAGCACAGCTCTGGTTGCTCAGCAACAATTGCAGCTTTTTACTGTGTGTGTTAAGCAGGCAGTAGCAGTCGTGTTTTTTCCAGAAGGGTTTGATTTAGCACCAAGGAGCAAATGCCTCTCTGACATAGGCTGCTCTTGTATAGTCCAGAAAGCCCAGGATAATAGTATAACTTTGCATTATTGCCACTTTTGTGGAATTTAATAGCTTTTGGCATTTGTTTATGTAATGTTGAAATTTGTAATCCATACTTCCTCTATACTTCTGCAAAGGGAAATGTTTGGTTATTGGCAAATAACTGGTTTTGCTTGTAGGTTTCTGAGTAGATATTTAAATTACATTAAGGGGGTGTGTGGTTTGAACACCTTCTGCCTCTGTGCAGTGGAACTGCTACTGGTGAAAGGCTGCAGCTGGCCCAGTTTAACTGCACAACAGAAAGGGACATAACACCAGTAGTTCTGGGAAATAACAGTGTGCCTCATGTGTTGTCATGTTCCTGTGATACCCAGTAAATTGCAAGGTGCTGTGGTTTAACCCAGCTGGCAAGTAAGGCCCGTGCAACTGTTCACCTACTTCTCTCCTTGCATTGGGATGAGGGAGAGAATTAGACTAAAAGTGGAGAAACTCGTTGGTTGAGATCAAAACAGTCTAATGAGGAAAATAAAGTCCTGCTTACAAGCAACTCAGGTTAAGGAATGCATTCACCACTTCCTACAGGCTCCATCACATGTAATGTGACTTGGGAAGGCAAATACCATTTTTCTGAATGTTCCCCCGTTCTCCTTCTCTCCCTGCTTTGTATACTGAGGATGATGTCCTGTCGTGTGGAGTACCCCTTATGTCAGCTGTTGTGGCTGTGCTCCCCCAGCCTTTTGTTGGTGGAGTAAGAAAGCCTTGGTGCTGGGTAAGCACTGCTCAGCAGTGACTGAAGTATCCCTGAATTATCAACGCTGTTTCCTGCACAAATCCAAAACATGGCCCCAAATCACTTAGTAGGGAGAAATTTACCTCATCCAAACCCAGCACATATGGTATTAGGGGAACTGGATTGAAAGTGAACAAAAAGGCTAAGTGCAGAGCGGCACTTGACATTCCCTATATTTTCTAAGATTAAGGAAGGGCAGGCTGACTTCATTAAGGCTACTGCAGGACAAAAAACCTCAGCCTTCTACACTTACTATTTTGGATATAGCTTGCCCTCAAGTATCTATTCTGTGTGCACTCAACTCAGATATCTTTCCTGCTTGGCTGAGGAAACAGAAAGGAGGTGCCTTCTGTGAGGATGTTGTAAACATTCAGTACTCCTAGAAAAGCTAGGGACATCGCTACAGTATCATGACAAAAATCCCAAATATTAGTATGTTGTATGAAAAGTATTAGAAACTTCAGATTCTTGGAGCGATAAATCCTTCATGTTGCTGACTTTAGAGTTGTGTCTTCTAATCTGTGTACCAAATCATGTTTTCCTATTCCATTTGTGATGCCCATATTGTTGTTGTGACTAGCACCTGTGAATGTAATAGTTGTTACAGTGGGTTAAAGAATGGTCTAAATTGTAAATTTTAGACTAATTTAAATGATTTTGCATCTTTTATCAGAATGCAGAAGAAGCTGGTATTTTTTGACTGAAATATGTGGCTCAAGCCTTTGTATTTTAGGTAATAGTTTACAAAAGAAAATATACCAGGTTTTTCCACAGCACGGAACACATAGTGTTCCACAA